ACGAAAGAAAGAAAGAAAGAAAGAAAGAAAGAAAGAAAGAAAGAAAGAAAGAAAGAAAGAAAGAAAGAAAGAAAGAAAACAGCCAGTATTGTACCACCCTTGTAAAAATGGTGTAGTCACATTTAGAATGTTGCTGGACAGTATTGGTCACTGCATCTCAAAAAGGGTACTGTACAGCTGAAAAAAGATGCAGAAAAGGGCAACCAAAATGATTAAGGGGTTGGAATACCTTCCTTACAAGAAAAGGCTAGTTTTTAATTTGGCGAAGAGATGACTAAAAGGAGTGGTAGTGGTGTGAGGGAAGATTCCCAAATTATGCATAGGTAGAGAAAGTGGACAGAAAGCACTTTCTTTCCTAATACTAAGAACTTATGAGCACCCAATGAACCTGATAGGCCACAGACAGAGAAAAGGAAGCACTTGTTTGCTCAAAGAGGAATTAACCAGTGGGATTCACTGCCACAGGAATGATGACCATTAGCTCAAACGTCTTGAGAAGAGGATATAGCAGATTCATGGAGGATAAGGTCCATCTGTGGCTATTAACCACAATGACCAAAAAAGGGCTTATGTTCACAGGATGTAATGTATCTATCTCCGACCGCGTTCACGGCTAGGTCGCCACGCGGTCCGGTGAAGCGGGCGAACTTCGCTCTCAGGAACAATGGGCCAAGGGTCCATCTGTGGCTATTAACCACAATGACCCAAAAAGGGCTTTTTATGTTCACAGGATGTAAGGTATCCATCTCCGACCGCGTGCACGGCTAGGTCGCCACACGGTCCGGTGAAGCGGCCGAGCTTCGCTCTCAGGAACAATGGGCCAAGCGGATCCTATCCCGCACCTATAGGAGGGCTAGGTTCCCGGCCGAGAGCCCATGGAACTCTCGGCCACTAGAATGACCAATCACTTGTGTGTGGGTGTGTTTTGGGTGTGGGATTCTTGCACATATAAACCGGGCTGCGAGCCGGGTCTAGTTGTCGTGTTCCGAACTAATAAAAGTAAGAGAGCTGAAATCGCTAGTAAGTCTCAGTACTTTTCACAGGAATAACCCTCTGAATATCAGTGCTTTGGGGCAATAATTGGGGGAGGCAGTCTCTACACCTTGCTTCCAGGGGGCCTCTTCTTGTCCACTGTATGAAATGCAGTGCTGGGACTAGATGGGCCTTTGACTGCTTCGGCATGCCTGCTCGTATTTATTCATTTATTCACTTACTTGATTTATTTATAGCCCACCTTTCTCTCTGAGACTCAAGGTGGGATTGCACAGCGTAAGGCGACGCCAAATCAAACAGCATGAGATATCCCAACAATGAGGCAATGTTCTAAGCTAAACGTCTTTACTGTTCCGTCGAGCAGCTAGAAGAATCTTACCACTTTTCTGCACCTGATTAGAATCTGGGGAAGCTAGGAAGGGGTAACAATGTCACTGCACGGAAAGACAACGTAAACGAACACCTTAAGTTGTTAGATGCGCACTGTGGTTGAGGTTATTTGTCATCGATCTGTAATTCATCCTGTATTCAGAAAACACCGGGTGGTACACTAGCCAAAAGGAAAACCTTTTTGCGTCAGCTTCCAGTCAGTGGCCAGCTGGCTATGTGAATTTACTTGCCATGTCCAGGATTCCACTGCTCAATGCTCCTCTGCAAAGCTGTGAAACGACATCTGCAATAGCATGACAACAGCCAGGTTCCTACACAATACAGTAGATGCACAAGCACAATGTACCACAGTGTGGAACAGCCAGGCATGACCACAGGGAAGAGTTTTCAAATGGCTACCAGGGTCCCTGATGCAGAAGATCCTGATATGAACTGGCACACCTAAAGTTCTCTAAAAGTCACACTGACACAAGCTCTCAAAATATGGGTGGTTAAAGTTGTTGATGATAAAAAGTAATTTCTGAAGCAGACATCAGCTATCGTTTGTTGACATTGAAGTGCTCTGGCTGGGTTATATTCACAGTTATGCCAGCACACTACCAACAAGAATGGCATTACAATACAACTATTGCGGGAAATCATACGTGGGTCTGTTGGTGCAAATGTTTAGGACTGGGATATAAATTGCTTTGCTGCTTACTTAATACTTCTGTTTAACTGAACTGCAGACAACTGATAATGCTGAAAATCTGTGTGTGTGTGTGTGTATATATATATATATATTTCCCTGATATAGATGCTGAGCTTTTTAAAAGAAGAGGCGAAATATTACCAAACTTCCAAACTGGAAAAGAAGAATAAGCATTGTAATATCTACATTATTAGTTTATGTTTGGTTGTTGTTGTTGTTTTAAAAGGATCCCGGGATGAACCTATTGCTCTCTAAGATAATGAAAAAATATATATTTTTCATAAGATAGCAGCAGAAATACAGTTAAAAAAATAAAATCTAAAAAAGAAATATTTTTTTAAAATCCTCCCAGCATTAGCTTCCTACTACTTCCCGCAAATAATCTAGAACAAAATCATTGCTGTGTTTCTCAAATGCTCATGTTTACAGTCTTGCCCTGTCATTGCTCCACTAAACTGACTTGAAGAAAGAACATTTTTGAGCACATTAGCAGGAAAGATATCTGTTGGGTTCATTAGAACGACAAACACCTTTTATCAGTAGTTTGGGTTGGCTTGTTTACATACGTATCCCATGAAATAAATGTCATGATCTTGAAAACGCTACTGTAGCATAATACATTTCTTTGATCATCTTTAAGTATTTAGACAATATTCCTTTCTTTTTGGAAAGAAGACAATATTTTTTGGTTGTTTTTAAAGGCTTTTCCATCATCATTATTTTCCCGTGTATGACCGAATGCTGAGGAGCAGCCCACTCATTTCGATGGCTCTTCAGGAATGCTTTGAGAAGTAGCTTTCTCTTTCTCTAGTAATATCAGTTCGGTTCTTGCTGAAGATGAAACAATGGCTGCCAAAGGTGCAGTCCCTGAGATCTCTTCTGTCTCTGCAACTTTCTCTTTTGGTGGTAAACTTTCTTGGGCATCAAAAAACATTTCCGCTTTTTCTGTTGGACTTTCTTCACCCTGAGGTTTCCTCCCTTTTGGATCGACCTCTTCTTCTTCTTTGTCAGCTTCCTTGATTTTTTTGGTCGGAGATGAAAAAGCTAACTTGGGAAATCGGAACCACCCAGTTTGCGTAGAAGAGTCACTGTCTGTTGCAGATGGATCTTTGGGTTGCACATCTTCTAGAAATGACGTTTGGTCTTCGGCTCTGGAATCTGTGGTTGTGTCATCGACAGAGGAAGAAAATCCGATACTTGGAAACCAGAATTTAAACCTGCCTGAAGAACTCCCACTGTCAGATTTTTCTTTTTGATCTGTGGACTCTTCTCCGGATTCAGAAGGTTTCATTTCTTCCTTATCGCGGGATACAGCAGAAATGGATATCTCTTTCGATGGCTTGTCAGAAGAACTGTCTGCAAATTTACTAGAAGATTGTACTTCAACAGCGAAAGGTTTCAGTTTTGTCAGAGTTGTGGCGGAAGACGATCCTTCGGTGAAATCACCAGCTATACCTGGGCCCTTGTCAGATACTTTAAATCCAAGAGAGAGAGTCTTCTGCATTACTATTCCTGAACTTTCATCTGACAGCTTAGGCTGGAGATCTTTACTCTCAAATGTTTTGTTCACATCTTCTGGAGAAGAACATTTGACTGGTACACCGACGCTCAAATGTGGTTCCTGCATCTTCAGTTTAAGCAGAGAAAAACCATAGGATGCAGTTTTGATCTCCGATGGAGGAATCTCAGATTCTCTGACTATCTGTGTGGAGAATGTCTCCTGACTTCGACTGTCGCCATAACCAAGCACTGATGTACCTTCTATCTTTGTTTCTTTGATCTCACCACGAGGTCCTTGAGCATGCAATGATGCTTCTGGAGTGCAGGAATCTGCAGATGGGAGTTTAATCTCAAATTGCGTTGTCTGAATGTCTGGTTCAGTCACTGTTGTAATTTTAGCTACTGACTTATGGATAGTACTACTCATGGTATCTATCTGCTCTTTAGGAAAACCACCGCTAAACTCCATTGGCCTCTGTATCCATACTGCAGTCTCTGCAAACATAGACTCTTTAGATGGCATTTTGCTCTCCACCTTTGTTCTCTGAATAGCAGGTTCAGACAATGTTGTAATCCTGACTTTTGATTTCTGGATATCATAACCTGTCTGGTCTGCTTTCTCTTCGAGGACTTTAGTCCTGAATTCCAGCTGAGGTGCAACATCAGTATCTGCACATTTCCCATCTGTTGTTCCTTCTGAAGTCAAAACTTGTCCTTCAGCTATGGGCGTGCTGTGTGTGAATTTGGGCATTCTTAATTTTGGAATATGGAAATTTAGCTCTGAATCCTCAAATTCCTTGTCCTCAGTATCTAGCTTTGTACCTTTTAGGTCAACAGACCCTTCTCCCTTTTGAATCTGGATTTCTGATGCCTCCCCTTCCGTTTTAGCTAGCGACACCTCACCTTCCACTTTTGGTGGATCAGCGTGGATTTCTGAGCCCCGTGATTTGGAACGTAGACTGCCAAACTTTGGCATCCTGAATTTAGATGCTTTTGTTTTACTTGAACTGTCTCTTTCTTCTGCTTTCACCTCAACTTCTGCGGAAGCGTCCTTCTCAAAACCTTCAACTGGCAACTCTATTATTTCAAAGTCTTCATCAGTGATCGAAGCATCCATTTTAATTTCTGGCAGGGCAGCCTCTGGTTCTTCCAGGTTAGGTATATCTTCAGCGATGTGGACAGAGCTCTTTGGGGTAGACCATCCAAATGAAGGCACAGTGAACTTTGGCATTTTGAACATGCTTTCTTTTCCTTGAATGTCCTTTTTCGGTGATTTTGTTTGGCTTGCCATCTTCCCAGTTTTTGCTTCTGCACCTCGGCTTTGCACCACAACTTCTTCTTTTGGACCAGAAATGTCAATTCTCCTTTCTGTTCCATCCACAGTGATTTCAGCGGATGCTGCCTCATCAGTTCCCACGTCTAGCCTCTTTGTTTCGATGGAAACCTCCAAAGATGGCGCGTCGTCAGGCTTGGCTTTATGTCGAAGTGCCGTATCGGATTTAGGAAGCGTTGCCTCTACTTTAGGTATGCTGACTTCTGAACTACAGAGCTCGTCTCTAGGGACGGGGAATGGAGGTTTCTGTAGCTCTTCTTCAGCCCCATGTTTAACTGCCTCAGCATATGTTTTGCTCCCCTCCAAACTTAATTTAATATCCATTTCCCCGGAAGGTTGCAGGAGTCTGCCTTTGCCTGCTGACAGGCCAAAACCAGAGCCCCCTTCTTTCTGTATTGAAACGTCACCTTCTGGAATTGGCCCTTGAGGAAATGTGATCTTGCCTTCTAAACTGTCCTTCACAGAAGACTCAGTGTCCACATGAAGAGACTGTGCCACAGTTTCGGGTGTCTTTATTTCAACTTGCATGTCAGCAGTGAGAACCTTCCCAGGGCTACCTTCATCCTCAGCATCACCCTTTTTCCCCTTTAAAGATGACCGGCCGAACGAAGGCATTCTGAACTTCGGCATTTTAAACCAGCCCTGAGATGCCTCTGTCTGAATTTCATGTTCTCCTTGTACAGCTATATCCTTCTCACTAAGGCTGTATGCAGAAGTGTCTGATACCTTGGTTTCAGCTGTGGCCATTCGTGGGACTTCAATTTTCACAGAGGAACCCTTCATTTCAACACCAGCAGTATCAGCTTGAACGTCTAGGACCGGAGCTTCTCCATCAAGTCCCTCTGTTGTTTGTACTTTGGAAACTTCACCTTGCACAGCTGGTATGACAATCTCACTCTTGGGCACATCCCCTTCAAGAACTGAGATTCCAAACTTTGGCATCTGGAGTTTCGGCAGTCTAATTTCTAAGCCCTCACTTTTTCTACCTGCACCATCCATATCAGTTTCACCTGATGTTCCTTCAAATCCTCTCTCCAAACTCTTCAGCTCAGGTGAATGGCCAGTCATAGGAGCTTTAATATCGGCTGTAGGTACTTTGGCATCTAGATCTATTTTGGGAGTCTTGATTTCTGGTTTTGATATTCCCTTTGGCATTTTAATGCTTATCTCTGTTCCTTCTTCTTCTCTGGTGGTAAAACTGCTTTCTATATCTGGTATTTGTACCACCTCTCCTTCTCTTTCCTCAGTTAGATCTTTCTCCCCTTTCGACAGACTGACCTGTGATTTAGGTAACTTTGGTTTAGAGAGAGAGAGTTTGGGCATGGCAAAATGAGGCCTTTTCATCTGGCCCTTCTTGGACGACATCTCCGCATCAAGTTCCATCTGGACCCCTTGATCTTCTGACAGAACTACTGTTAGTTGTGAATCTGTATCCTCGGGCCATGCTGTTTGAGGTTCTTCCTCAGGTTCTTTTATGTCTGTTTTAAGGCTTGCTTCTTTTTTAGGGGACCAACTAAATGATGGCAACCTGAATTTTGGCATTTTGAAGTGTCCTTCTTTCTCTTCTGTATCTAAAACTCCAGTCTTTAAATCTCCTTCTGGTTGGGCTTCTAAACTTTGAACGTCTTTTTCTGACGGAGGCATCGGAAGCCCGACTGATGGGAGCTCTACGTCCAGCGTGGGGGCCTTCGTGACACCTTTAGGAATCGGAGGAATTCTTATTCTGTCATCCACCACAATTGTTTCTTCACCAGCTACAGCGTAATTAGCTTCGAGTGTTGGTGCTTCCACTGCAATGTCAGCAATATCTGTTGTTGTTTTCAGCTGGGGAACCTCTGCCTCCATCGATGGTAAAGCAACCTCAGTGTCAGGAACTTTTCCTTTAGAAAATGAGATTCCAAACTTGGGCATGTGGAATCTGGGCCTTTTCATCTTTCCTTCCACACCTTCAGTTTTAATCTCGGCCCCATCTACAGACGTTTCAGCGGACTGTCCTTCCATTTTTACTTCTGGACTTTTCAGTTCCTCTGCCCTGGAACCCTTAATTTCAGGAGCTGCTATACTAACATCAGCGCAAATATCCCCCAGTTTTACTTCTGGTTTTGAAAGACTGACATCAGACGTAGGGAGCTGGGCATCACTTTTAGGGTCGCTGACCTCCATATCAACCTTTGGAGCTTTGATTTCTGCTTTGGAAAGCTCAAGGCTTGGGAGTTTAACTTTGGGCATTTTAATGCTTTTTTTAGCATCCCCTCCACTGACTTCTTTCTCTGGGACCTGCAGTGGCCGGTCTCCTTGATCTCCTTGCTCAAACACTCTAATGTCCGTTTCCAGCTGTGACACAGACATTTCAGCCTTATGGCCCTTCATTTTTGGAAGGGATAATTTTGGCATGCTGAACTGTGGCCGTCTGATTTTACTTCTTTCACTGTCTTTATCAATAGAAAAGTGACTGTCCACTTCAACCACCTCGTCCTCGATTTCTTCTACGGTAAGGGTTAATTCAGGTTCTCTCTCACTTGTCGAAATTGTTAGTGAGGGGTCATCCCAGTTGGCATCAACATGACCGGAAACGCTTCCTTCCTTTTTTGGAGACCAGTTAAATGATGGTAGTTTGAACTTTGGCATCTTGAATTTGCTTTCTTTTTCTGCTGTGTCCTTTTCACCGGCTTCCATTTTTAAGCCTTTGATATCTAAGTCTGTACCCTGGATGTTAACTTCTGTCATGGGAACTGAAACATCTACAGATGGAAGGCCAATGGCTGTACCTGATATCTGAATATCAGTTTTCGGTCGCTGGAGCACTCTTTCTGGTGAGGTCTGCATTTTAAGGTTTGAAACATCTGACTCCATCTCAGGAGCTTCAATTGTTCGAATATCCAAGATTTCCACATCAGTGTCTAGGCCAGGTATGTCAATATCAGCCTTGGATGAACTGACTTTGCCTTCTATGGTTTTATCTTTAGTACGAGATAATCCAAACTTCGGCATATGAAATCTTGGCATCTTCATCCTCCCCTTTGAGCCATCGACAGTTACCTCTGCAGCACTGTACTCAATATCACCAAGAAGAGTTTCCGCGGTTATTTCTGGTGCCTTCTCACCGACCTCCACTTCAATGCTTGGGGCCTCAAGCTGGGTTCCTGACACATCTATGCCAGTCTCAACAGATGGCAAAATCACTTTGCCTTTCAGATCTGCTTTTGGAACATCACCCTCCAAGGAAGGTACACTACTAATGTCTCCCTCAACAGCAGCTTTCCCTTTGGGAAGGGAAATGCCAAACTTTGGCATCTGGAACTTAGACATTTTGAACTTCCCATCCATGCCCTCAAGCTTGACCTCGCCAGCCTCCACAGATATCTCAGCTGATGGTGCCTCCAGTTGGAAGTCTGGGGCTTTGAGTTCCAAGGAGGCCTGGCCTGTTGGGATCTTCACCTCAGTTGCTGAGACACTGATGTCGGCCGCAAGGTCTCCCGTTTTCAATTCAGGTTTGGAGATGCTGAGGTCAGCGGATGGAAGGGTGACGTCAGCCTTGGGTGTGCTGAGGTCCATGTCGACTTTGGGGCCTTTGACTTCTGGTTTGGAGAAGCCCATGCTGGGCATCTTGAATTTTGGCATGTGCATCTTCATCCTGCCTCCCTCAATTCTGCCTTCTGCTTCGGGCACCTTGACAGAGACTTCTCCTTCTGGCAGTTCGGCTTCAACTTTGGGAAGGGATACATCTCCCTCGACCTTCGATAGAGTGACTTCTACCTGGGGCCCCTTTATTTTGGGCATCTTCACACTCGGCATCTTGACATCAGGCATTTTCATTTTGCCCTTCTCACCAACCTCCACTTCCACACTCGGGCCTTCAATGTGAGGTCCTCTTATCTTTATGCCCGTCTCGACGGATGGCACCGTCACTTCACCTTTGAGTTCTGCTTTGGGGATCTCTGCCTCTATGGCAGGCACGGTGATATCCCCCTCGACAGCGGCTTTCCCTTTGGGAAGGGACATGCCAAACTTTGGCATCTGGAATTTAGGCATTTTGAATTTTCTGTCCACGCCCTCCAGCTTGGCCTCGCCGGCCTCCACAGATATCTCAGCTGATGGTGCCTCCAGTTGGAAGTCTGGGGCCTTGAGTTCCAAGGAGGCCTGGCCTGCAGGGATCTTCACCTCAGGTGCTGAGACGCTGATGTCGGCTGCAAGCTCTCCCGTTTTCAATTCAGGTTTGGAGATGCTGAGGTCAGCGGATGGAAGGGTGACGTCCGGCTTGGGTACGCTGAGGTCCACGTCGACTTTGGGGCCCTTGACGTCTGGTTTGGAGAAGCCCATGCTGGGCATCTTGAATTTTGGCATGTGCATCTTCATCCCACCTCCCTCAATGCTGCCTTCAGCTTTGGGCACCTTTGCAGAGACTTCTCCTTCTGGCATTTCAGCTTCAACTTTGGGAAGGGACGCATCTCCCTCGAACTTTGATGGAGTGATGGCAACCTGGGGCCCCTTTATTTGGGGCATCTTGACACTTGGCATCTTGACATCTGGAATTTTCATTTTGCCCTTCTCACCGACCTCCACTTCCATGCACGGGACTTCAATATGGGGTCCTGACACCTTTATGCCTGTCTCGACGGATGGCACTG